CATATCATATTCTTTTTTTAACCTTTTTTTACGTGTTTTTTCAGGGTTTTTTTTGGCCTGGCCGGGCAAGGTGTCCCGGGCCACTCTGGTAGCCTAGACTTTTTTCTATTTTTTTTTCGTTATTTGATGGCCTTGAAATGGCTGGCTCAACCTGCTTTTCGATGGCGTTGACAAGAAGGGGGGCGTAGCGGAGAACCGGGAGAAGGCAACGAGAAAAGGGTGGGCATATTGCATAAGGCGACCAGAAAGAGGTGGACACAGGGAAGAATGCAGACAAACCATTCATCTGCCTGACTGACAACGACGACTGACACCGATCCTTTAAAAATTTGAAAAAAAAAAAAAAAGAGATTGTCACCGATCCTATTGCACTGACTGGTACTCAATAGCACACACATACAACAATGGAGGGGTGGGTGAGGCGTTTGGGTGCACTAAGAGCATCGGTTCAACAAAAAGAAAAGGCGAAGAATAGAGAGAGGAGGAACACAAAGGTTGCTGAGGGTAGAGAGAGAGAGGCAAGGTTTTTGCGTCCTGGAAGTCCTCGTACCTAGCGGTGGTGGTGGGGGTGGGATGTTGAAGTAATTCACAGGTGGCGGAAGCGATGGGGGCGGAGGCTGATGCTGTTGCTGCGGCGGCTGCTGCTGTTGTACTGGCATGACCGCTCGGGGCAATAGCCCACCATGTGTGAGAGCTGGAAGCGACGTGCTCGGGAGTGACGACGCGCCTGTCTGACTGCTTGCGCCTGAACCAGATGTCGACGCAGCTGCACCACTGCCAAGAATACCGGCACCACCTGCGCCTAGAATCGACCCTCTACCCTCTCCGTCCTCGTCGTCTTCCCCCTTGCCTTCCTCTAATTTTGGCACTTGTGGCCGTCCCCACATGAGCTTCAGCCTCAAACCTTTTATAACCAGCTTGTTGGCGCAAGCCTCTGCTGCCTTCTCGGCACCTTGTCGTGACCTGACCGAACGAAACACCGCCACCGTTCCACGCACCATACACACATTCACACAACATGGGGATAAAGTCCGATCAACCGAATAATTACCACCCACATGCCTGGCCCACTTTTGAATCCAGATGCAACCAGATGAGCAGACACAATAAAATCATCACACAGCGAGCGCATAAAGTCCCATAAACAGAAACTGAGAACAGTAACAGAAACGACCTGCATTCGAATCCGGGCCTGAGTTCGAATCCGGGCCTACCGTCTTCCCCCGAACACAACGCACCCTCATTTTGACCGTATCGGGCCGGAAACGTGCCTAGCATACGTTCATTTTCAGGGTGCGTTATGTTCGGGGGAAGACGGTAGCTCAGTTGGTACAGGTATATGAGCTCTTGAAATACAGACCTGAGTTCGAATCCAGATGACACCAGATGACACCAGATGACACCAGAATAAAATCATTCCGACGAATCTGAACAGGTGAAGTACCTGGGCCCGGTGTCAGCTCCATGCATGACGATATCTCAGGGACGCCGCCCTTTCTTTAAAAAAAAATAAAAAAAAATTACCATAGCAATCTAGTAAACATTGTTCTGTTTGGCACGGCGAAATGTTGTGCTGGCAATCTCGGATTAATATTCCACGCAGCTGGACACAAACGTCACGACGAAGCACACACCTGGGCGGGAATGCAGACGGGTGTCCCAGGCAGCCCCAGCGCAAAATGAAATACAAAATAAAATAAGCCAGTCTGGAAAAAAAATACGTAGAACTGTGGTGCAAACGACGTCCGGCCGAAATTCATCTCAGAATCGTTCCCCTTTTTTGTTAATTCGGACCGTTTCTCGATATATGCATGCCATCCTTGCGCAGGGCCATGCTAATCTTCGTTTTCCGTATCGTTCCAATTTTAGTGCTGGGGATGCCGAACGGACTCTCAGAAACATTTCTTAATGATATCAAAAAAATAAATAAACAAATAAACAAATCGGTGCCAGGGCAGCCAGGCAACATTTTGTAAGGGACCAGCTTGTTTAATAAAGTTGGGCTCTGTCAACAAAAAAAAAAAAAAAAAAAATCAAACTGCGACCTACGTTGAACCCCTTTAAGCCCCCTTAAGATTATTTATAGCCCGCTTTCCCTTCCCAACAGAAAACACTGGGAAAAGATGAAAAGACCGTGCTAAGCTGTTTTTCCGGGCACCCAACTTATGCCCGGGTACCCGGCCGGGCATGACAACTGGGCAGGGTTCCTGGCCGCCCCAGCGCCAAAAGAAGAAAAAAAAAAATCAAAAATTTCCGGAAAAAAAAAAGTTCTGTAGAAGTGCAATACAAACGACTTCTGGCTGAGGGTCACATTAGAATTCCTCATGGAATCGGAGATTAAAAAAAAAAAAAAAAACCAGAATCACACTAAGGCACCCCCTTTTAAACCCCTTTAGCGAAATTTAGCCCCGTTACAACCAATTTATACCCTCCTCCCAAACCCTTGAAAGCCAACTCGCAAAAAACGAAATGATCCCGGATTTGGACTCCTCTGGGAGATCGCAAAAAAAAAAATTCTTTTTTTTTTTTTTTTTGTACGCCCTGGGTACCCCGGGCGTCACACCCAAGTGCCCAGCCGGGCAGGACTGGCCGGGCATGAAAATCTTTCCTAGAAAAAGGGCCCGGACTTCAGTGGGTGCAGAAAAGCGTGGCGAAACCCAGACATAGACCCCTCCCCCTCCCCTTTTATAGCCCCCTTCCGCCTCCCCCTCCCCATTTATAGCCCCCTTACCCTCCACAAGGATGACCTGAAGATTCAGAAATGTGAGGCGTCCGTCGCAAAAGGCGGCAATCGAGTCACAGAGCAGCAAAGAAGAAGATTGTGGACCTATGGAGGTCGACAGGCAGAGGAGCCAGGTTACTGCGATTCTGCGGACTTCTTTTTTTTGTTCCAAAGATTTTGTGAACTTCAATTCGATCAATTGCATTCCAGTTTCAAAACTCAAAGTGTTATGGCGGAGGAATTGGCTATGAGGAGCTCGGAGGCATTCAGCGTCACCGCTAGATCGCAACTTTTGTTTGTCCGAAACTCTTCGTCACTGTACTGAGTTTCCCGTCACGATGTTTTCCGCCGCATGTACAAAGCTGGGGACACTCTCTGTACAAACCCCAGTTACAGCAGACTCGATGTGAATCGTAGTCCAGATTCTTGTTGGTTTAGTGAGGGCGACCGTGCAAGTCACCGAACGAATTGCCCACTTTGGCGTAGTCAAGTGGGACGTTGCAGATGTCCGCAACGAGACGGACACGACTTATTTCATGCATGGAGCATGCATGAAAGACACCTGGAATGACGAACTCATTCCGGGGACCATAGCCTGTCATGAAAGGAGATCACTGGATTTAGTCGGCCCTCGGAAGACCGTGTCTCCGAGATGCAGTCCCATGCTCACTGCAGTGGAATCCCCCGCGGTAAATCCACTGGTTACTGCAGTGGAAATCCCCGCAAACCGCGGTTACAGCAGTAACCATGGGGACTTACACCCCCTGCAGTGGAATACCCCCAAGGTAAATCCCCTCGTTACTGCAGTGGAGTCCTGCATGGTAAATCTCCTGGTTACTGCAGTGGAATCCCCCATAATAGATCCCCTGGTTACTGCAGTGGAAATCCCCCTTGGTAAATCCACCGGTTACTGCAGTGGAAAAATCCCCACAAACCAAGGTTACAGCAGTAAGTTAGTAACCATGGGGATTTACCCCCATGCTTACTGCAGTGGAAACCCCCCCACGGTAAATCCACTGGTTACTGCGGTGAAATCCCCCTCGGTAAATCCCCTGGTTACTGCGGTGGAATCCCGATGGTAAGGGCCAGGCCCCCACCTGGTGGTATGTTCATGCCACTCGAGCCCTACCGTCTTTCCCCAAACATAACGCACCTTGATAATGAACGTATACAAGCTTTATTTCCGGTGAGGGACAGCCAAAATGCGGGTATGTTGTGTTCGAAGGAAGACAGTAGCGGCCTGGTTCATGCTTACTGCATTAGAATCCCCCCGTGGTAAATCCAATGGTTACTGCACTGGAATCCCCCATGGTAAATCCCACCCATGGTTACTGAAGTGAAAATCCCGATGGTAATGACCAGGCCCCACTGGTGCTGTGTTCATGCTACTGAAGCATGCCTGTATAGCATGAACCTATATAGCACAAACTAGCAGCCCGGTTCATGCTTTTATATGGCATGAAGTGCCATCAACATAACACACGCAGAGACCCCCACAGCTGCTTTATTCCCATCATTACTGCAGTGACCCCCCCCCCTGTTCTCATCAGTTTAATATCTGCTCCATGGTCCATCATACCGCATTAAAATAAAATTAAAAAAAATGCAAGGAACATGAATATGGACGAAGCACAGAAATCCAGAATGCAAAATCACACTGAAGTCCAAGTAGTCAAAGCCAAAGCAGATAGCACATGGAACCGAGTAACCATCCAATTGAGAATGATACAGAAGAGTCGTGAGTCAATGTCCATGCCCAACAGGGCAACACCAACAGCATAACCCAAATGTAGCTCTCTCTTGTGAATGGCGCCAGGCGCCCTATCTACTCTACAGCCTAGCCTACAACTACAGCAATGAAAGCAACCAGACAACTTGACTACCAGCGAGTGATGATGTCAACACCAATGCCGACCTCCACCTCCACCAGGTACGTGTCCTCTTCCCCACACTCTCCCTTGTTACCCCCACAGCGCCCTTCACCTCCGAAGACCACCTCTCACTGCACCCTCATGCGGCCCGGCTATGGCCGCCAGTGCCTTGCATGCAGGCAGCGCCCTACCGCCTAGCGCTTGCCTGCTCCACCTTAGCGCAGCGCTGCTCATGCATAGCACAGCACGCTGCGCCTGCATCAGCGCAGCGTGCCCGCAATGCCAGCATTGGCCAAGATCCCTGCCCACTCCCCCTGCTTGCCTATATGCCAGTCCAGCGTGTGGGCGGCCTCCCTTCAGCCTGTGACCAGGACCCAGAGGCTGAACTCAGCCTGATACAGTTGGGC